ATTATGTGGCTGTTAGCGACTGCAGGCCATGTGCCCCGTTTCACCCGCCCACCTGCCCACCACATCTGCTTATGAGTCACCACTACCTCGACCAAGATAGCAAAATGTGAGAATCAGAGAGCCAAGGCTGGCCCAAGGGGAGTGAGTGGGCGGGAAGGGGGAGGCTGCAAGGCTTCCAGACCCAGGACAGCAGGGGCCCAGAAGGGATACTGAGGCCAGGAAGAACACGGACCTGCCAAGGACCCATGAAGAGTCACAGTCAGCCTCAGTCCCTTGGCTGATGGAGGTGCTTTCTGTTGCATCTGACCATCTCCCCAGTGGGTGGGGAGACAGGGCTGAGAGCCTTCACAATGATCCAGACAATTAAGACAGGCAGATGGTTCTGCTGGACTGAACATTCAAGCCGACAGACGGAGACAATGCCGGGACCTGAGATGACGAGATCAGCTTGCGTTCCAGAGGGAGACACGCGCAAGCAAGGCCAATGTGCAGTTGGGACATTCCGGGAGGGGCTTGGCACATCTGTCTGCTCTGCCCAGCTCAGACCTCCCCAGGCCCTGGGCTCCACTCTGGGCTCTGCTCTGCAAGAGGGACACAGAGAGGATGAGGTACGGACAGAGGTGGCAGCCAGGTGGAGAGGGCGGAGACTGTGTCCTGTGGGGAGCGGGGCTCACAGCCTGGGGCGGGGAGAGGCATCGCTTTTTCTGCAGGGCTGTCCCGGGACAGGAGAAGCAGAGAGAAGGCAGAGGACTCAGGGGAGCCTGGGGAAAGCAGAGGAGTGGCCACATGTTGGGAATACAACCAAGGGGTCCCTTGCACCCAGCAGGGGAGGCTGAATAAGCTGACCGTGAAGGAACGCCCCCGGGGTGAAATGTTTGGAAGTCAGGCGGCCTGGGTAGGCTCATGCTCCAGTACTTCTTTCCTAGGTGTGTGACCTTAGAAACTAACTTCGTCTTTAAGCCTCAGTTTCCTCAGCTGCAAATGGGGTGATTTAGTTCATAACGCACAGGCCTGTTGCAAGGGTGAGAAAGTACATGGGAAGTGCCTGGCACACAGCAAGTGCTCCATAAACGTTTGGGAAACACAGAACAGGTCTAGAGGTTCACTCCAGCCTGCTGGGATTCTGCAATTCCAGGACGCAAGTTTATCCCTGTCTTCTTGATTCAAAAAAAAAAAAAAAAAAAAAATCACCTGGTCTTCGAGCCACTATAGCTGATCTGAAATTCTGGTGCCCGCAGGCATGGAGGAGGGCAGAGGCTCAGGAGTGGGGCACTGGAGAGAGAGGGCTCATTTCCACGCTGGGAGTCAGATTTGAGGCCCTGATGTGGCTGCCAGGAGACATGCCAGGAGCCGGATGTGGTGGCGTGTGGGAGGCCAAGGGGAGCCTCATTAAGGAGCGGAAGGAGGGAGTGAATAATTCATCACAGACCAGCACCGCAGAGTGGGCACAGGCAGACAAAGCTCAGGAGGGCCAGGACAGGGGCTTATGTCTGTCTTGTTCCCTGTTGCACCCCAAGGGCCTAGAACAATACTTATGACATAATAGGTGCTCAATAAATATTTGTTGAATGAATAAGTGACACAGGCTATTCTCCTGCCTCTACATCCATCAGTTCTGCCCACCCGACAGTCCTGGCTCCTCACCTCCTGCCTGGGCCCCACCCAAGCCTCCTTCCTCCAACCCCACCTATGGTCTGCAGAGCACAGCCAGCGCCTATTCTTTTCTTTCTCTCTCCCTATTTATTTATTTATTTATTTATTTATTTATTTATTTATTTTGGCACAATCTCAGCTCACTGCAACCACTGCCTCCCAGGTTCAAGCGATTCTCTTGCCTCAGCCTCCCAGGTAGCTGGGATTACAGGCATGCACCACCGTGCATGGCTAATTTTTGTATTTTAAGTAGTGATGGGGTTTCACCATGTTAGCCAGGCTGGTCTTGAACTCCTGGCCTCAAGTGATCTGCCCACCTCAGTCTCCCAAAGTTCTGGGATTATAGGCATGAGCTACTACCATACCTGGTCCAGATCCTATTCTAACACTCGAAGCAGTCCTCCACTCTCTGCTGCTCAAGGACCATCCATGGTTCCCACTGCCCCCAGGACAGGGTTCAAGCTCCACAGCCTTTCACCTCCTCCACCCTGCCTCTCTCCTCTCCCCACACCCTTCATGCTGACCAAGGCTCTCATGGGGTCTTGAGGCAGATCTTTCAAGCCTCCAGGCATTTTCTTTTTTTTTAAGAGACGGAGTCTTGCTCTGTCGCCCAGGCTGGAGTGCAGTAGCACCATCTTGGCTCACTACAACCTCTGCCTCCCGGGTCCAAGCGATTCTCCTGTCTCAGCTTCCCAAGTAGCTGGGATTACAGACACGTGCTACCACATCCAGTTAATTTTTTTAGTAGAGATGGGATTTCACCATATGTTGGCCAGGCTTGTCTCGAACTCCTGACCTCAAGGGATCTGCCCGCCTCGGTCTCCCAAAGTGCTAGGATTACAGGCATGAGCCACTGCACCTGGCCACCTCCAGGCATTTTCATGAGCTGCTCCCCTGCTTATCTACCTGGCAAACTCTTACTCATCCTTAAATACCCAGCTCTGGGAGTCTCTTTTGACCTCTCTCAAGCAAAATCATTGCTTCCTTCTAGAGGCAATAACTACACCCTTGAGTCTCAGTTTGGAGGACATAGGAGGGGTCTCACATGGCCATGTGGCCCAGGGACCTCTGCCCAAGTATTCAGAGTGAGAAAATGGGTCCTTACCCGGAGAAGATGAGCAACAGGACGGCTCATTAAAATCATATAGGCTGGAAACGGATAAACGTGTCGCCAGGCATTTTTTGAAAAAAATATTTTGAAGAAGAAAACAGAAGAAACACCTTGCGTTCTCCCATATCTCTTGGATTCTTCTCCCTTGAGGTTTCGTTTTCGCGAATGTACAGGCTCACTTCATGGGCAAATCAAGTTCCTTGTGCCTCCCTCAGTGCCCTCCGTGAAGGGGTGGAGAGGGGTCGGGCAGGAGCCTGGCTCAAGTCTGCACACAGTGTGTCCTCAATCAACCAGGCTGAGCCCTCCTCTTTCCTTTGCTTATTTTCTATCAAGAGCTATGCTGGCCCCAGATGTGACTGCCCTGGGGACAGTGGTGTGTACACGGGGAGAGGAAGTAAGTGGTTGGGTCACTACGGGGAAGATGGAATTAAAAATTCCAGGAGTCTACTCTACGTCCCAAACTTCCTCAATTGGCACTGCAATCTCAGAAGGGCAGTTTTTCTTGGGCTCACTTTACCACGGGAGGAAACTGAGGTTGAGTAGCCGTCCAAGGCCACACAGGGAGTAAGAGCCAGGACAAGATTTGAACCCTGGTCTGTCTGGGCCAATGTAAGCATTTCCTGCATCTCCAAGATGCAGAGCCTGATCCACAGCATGTAGTAGGCTGCTCTCCAAATCTTGGGGAAGCTCAAATCTGGAGCCAACCCAGGATTTCATCTGTCCCTCCAGCCTGGGAGGATCCCACTGGCCTCTTAGGGTCTGTGGACCTGAACAGAGGACAGCAGCCTCAATGGGGGAGGGAGTGTCTCCTGCGGGGGTGGTCTCAGCACAGGAGTCTCTGACCAGACCCAAGGAGAGGCCTGCTCCTGATGTTCTCCAGGCACCAACTGCTCTGCCTCTGTGGACCGGGCTTCCAGGGACTTCCAGGATGTCAGGCCACCAGCTGCCCTGAGGCCAGTGCAGGACCTAGAGCCCTCTGCTGCCGCACGGACACCCACCCCCATCCCCGACACCTCCCTGAGAAAGATGCTCCCTGTGTAGGCACCTCAGAGTCTGGAAAATGCTCAGTTACAAGCTCACTGGCTGGAGAGAGCCTCCGTATGTCAGCTGTGTGGCCTTAGGCAAGTTACTTAACTTCTCTGTGCCTCATTTTCCTCCTCTGCACAATCAGAATGAGGACGGGACCAGCCTTGCAGGGCTACTGTGAGGAATGAATGAGTGAATGCACTGCTTGGCACACAGTGGCGCTGAGTGAATGTCTGTCACTGCTGTTCCCGTTGACAGTAAGATGATTCTTGGTCCTAAGCCTGAAGCATAGAGATTGTGCTCCCTCCACCACCTCCCTCCTCCCCGTGCTGTAGATGGAGAAATGGCAACATAGGTGAATCCTGGGGTCACACAGCCTGGGGGGCTTAACTCCAGCTCCTCCACACCCCCACTCCAATCTTGGTCCCACCCTAAGCCCCCTCCTAGCACTCTGAGGAGCTGAGCATGTGTCCAGTCATGGGACCCCGCACAGGCTGGGGCTCAGCATACAGAGTCTTGCCCAGAGGCAGGCCGCCTTCACCTAGGTTCCCTGTCCCAACTCTCCACGTTCAGCTCCTCGCTCCCTCCCACCCCTGCTCCCCCACACACAGCTCCCCTGCTAGGCAATCCCAGCCCATCTGGACAGCCTCATGGCCTCAACAGGAAGGAGAGAAAAGGCTGCTGGGGACGTGCCCTGGGAAGGGGTGGGGGCGATGAAGGAGACACACAGGAAAGTCCAGAGAGACCCAAAGAGAGACAGTGACAGTGGAAGAGGAACAGAGAAGAGCAAGACAGAGACAGACAGAGTGGGAGAGAGAAGGCAGAGCAGAGGCGGGAGCAGAGAACTGGGTGAAGGAGGGCAGACAGCAGGAGAGAGAGACACGGAGAGACCCAGAGGCCAGGCAGAGAGACAGTGGGAGAGAGAGGAGAGAGAGACAGAGAGACAGTGGGAGAGAAAGGAACAGACCCAGAGAGAGCAGAGAGACCGAGACAGAGCGATGGAGGAGAGAGAGAAGGAAGCAGAGCGGTGGAGAGACGGGTAAGGGAACTGGAGTGGTCTGGGGCAGAGATACAGAGGGAGAGAGAGAGACACAGCACAGAAACCCAAAAGGCTCCGCGAGAGAGAGGGGGAGGGAGAGCAGGGGTGATTGAGGACAGGCGGGGAGCCCAGGAAGTCCCTCTGGGCCCCTGGCCGTCCACCCAGACTCACCGGCACCTTTTAGCCGCCGCCTCACCACGCCCAGCCGCCACTTGAGTGACACCGCCAGCATTGTGCCCTCCTGCCCTCTGGCAGAGCCCTGTGCAGCCTGCCCCAGCCTCCCACGCCTGGAGTCGGCGCTCCTGTGCCCGCTCCAGAGCTGCCTGCGCTAACTGGCACAGGCTGGGCGCTCCCTTCCTCCGCCCTCCGGGAGTTGCTAAAATAGATAATCCTCCCCGGAGCCAGCGGTGGCATTGGTGGCGGCAAGGCCCTTCCTCCACAGCAGCCGGGCCTGGGGAGTACAGCGCCGGATGTTCTGGCCTCTGCAGCAAACCTTCATCAGGCCCCACCCTCAAGTCCTCTTCCCGCCAAAGTGCTCACCTGGCCCACCCCACCTTTTGCTGAAATCTACCAATCCCCTCCTCCCCTCTGCCCTGGGCTGGCTGTTTGATACCTGAAGGCCTTTGCACCTGCAAGGCCCTCCCCCTAGAATGCCCTTCCACTCTAGTGGGGCTCCACGCATCCTCTCTGCCTGGGAATGTTTGCTTCCTTCAGGGCACCCCACCTGCTGGATCTCAACACATTTCATACTAGGTTGAGATTATCTACCTGACCCCAGGAATAAGGAGTTCTGAGACAAGGACAAGAGTCCACTGTCCTGTGTCCCCAGCAGACAACACCGCACTGGGCATGTGATTGGGGCCACCAGAGTAGAACGAGGAGACCCAGGCCCCTCCTCTTAACTCTTAACACCTACAACTATAACACATAACATGGGGATACCGGAAGAAGCTGCTCAAACTGCTGGTTGGGTGGAGTTTTGGGGACTATGTGTGAGTACTCAGAAAACTCATCCAGCATCTCTTCTTGTCGTACACATGGCTAGCCTCCTCTCTCATCCCACATCCTGACCCCTGAGTTTGGCAGGGCAGTGTTGCCCTAGGGGAGACTGAGGCAGATGGGTAATGACTTGCTCATGGTCACAGAGCACATACATTGCAGAGGTGGCTCTAGAACCCCAGGTTCCTGCCCTCTCTCTACCAAGGCAGGTGTTCATGCTTTCTCCATCCTTTCCCCAAACCATGAAAGCCCCTCTGATGAATCAGGCTACAGACCACACTCATAGGAAGGGCAAGACACCCGTTCGGGAATCATGGCTGCCACAGAAATCAGACTTCGTGTGTGAACCAGCAGTGAGGGCCTCCCTTGAGAAAGCTGGAGGGTTCCCCCACATGCAGAACTCCTGCCAATCCCCATCACTTCACAGCAATCCTATCTCTGGAATCCTTTGGCCCAGCATTCACCAGCACACAGGATTAGGATGGATGGAACACAGGGCAGTTCTGGATACACAGATCCAACCAGTAATAAAAATGAATTACACAGTGAGGAAGTGATTCCCTTCTCAGCAATCTCCCGTCCCTTCAGATTCCATGCAGGAGCCTCCTTTCGGCTCTACCGCGCTACCTCCCTGAAACTTGCAGACAAATAATTTTAAACAAAGAGAGAGCAGGCCCCAGGCTCAGAGCCCCCACAGCACATGGATTCCAGCCCAAAGCATCAGGAGGCACTACTGGCAGAAGGTGAGGCTCAGGGAGGCTCTGTTGGGGCAACTCAGCTAGGCTGGAGGTCCTGGGCTCCTTTACACAGACTCTGCTGAGGGATTCTGTCTTCATCCTAAAGGTATGGGTGGTAGAGGCCTCTCAGGGCTAGCCGAGGAAGCAGGAAGTGGGCACTTGAATGGCATCACCCAGCTCCTTCTCGAGACCTGAGGACAGCATGAGGGCTACCCCACTGCCATGGCCCCTGTCCCATCCCCACCATAAGCCTCTCCTCTGCAGATGGGAGACGTAAGCCTCTAGAGGAGCAGAAAGCTGTGGTTCAGCTGTGCAAACAGAGAGGAAGGGAAGGGAGCAGAGTACACATGCCTTTAGGGATGGGCAGATCTGAGTTCAAATCCCCTCAGTGTGCCTTAGTTTCCTCATCTGACAGATGGGGCTAACAGTTCCTGCCTCCAGTATGGCAGGGCTACACGAGATCACAAGCATAGAGCACTTAGCGGAGCCTGGCACACAGTAGGTGATAGATACATAATATGTAACCGTTATTAACGTTGTGGTTATTCTGCCTGGAGCTCAACCCCTTGTGTGTGAATGGGGATGGGAGGCCCAAGCGAGGCGAAGGCAGGAAAGTCAGGAATCTGATGCTTTCCGTGAACTATCACATCAAATCCTCAGAGTGCATGAGGGTGGTCCCAGGAACATAGCGATTTTACAAGCAAGGAAATTGAAGCTCAGAGAGGTAGGGTACTCCACCAGAGTCACACAGCATGCAAGCGGCAAGACAGGTCTCAGGTT